CAAACTAACCCGTCCACGTAATGCGTGCTAGTCCTTGTATGTTAATATTAAATTTAAAAAACCAAGCGCCTCCTATTGTCAAGCTGTACTCTTTTAACCAGTAAACCAGTATTAAACGAACCGTGACGAAACTAACCAAAAATATGTAAACTAGCCCAAACTAACCCAAAAAAATGCAAACTAATCCAAATTAACCCGTCCACCTAATGCGTGCTAGTCCTTGTATATTAATATTGAATTTAAAAAACCAAGAATTAAGAATCAGGGACAATTATTAAGAATTAAGGAATTGGGTAACTCCGGCCATAGATTCATTTACGATTCACAGTTAAACTATTGTTTTTTTTAAAAAAAAACAATTTTCCGTTCGAACAATTTTCTTTCGAACAATTATTTTCGAACAATTTTCCGTTCGAATAATTTTCCGTTCGAATAATTTTCCGTTCGAACAATTTTCTGTTCGAATAATTTTCCGTTCGAATAATTTTCCGTTCGAATAATTTTCCGTGCGAACAATTTTCTTTCGAACAATTTTCTTTCGAACAATTATTTTCGAACAATTTTCCGTTGACGACAGAGGTATATATACAGTGTGTCCACTTAAGATCGCAGCATGTGGGAAACTTTTTTATTATCAATTTCACGAAAAAAAGTTATTCTTCATAAAAGTTTCTGCTTCTTGAAAAATTTATATTAAATTATTAAAACTTGAGATAGCATGTACAGGGTGGTCAGAAAATAGAAAAATATACGGGGTGTTTCTTAAGTACGGTTCGTAACTTCAGGATGCGATTCCTTACAATATTTTAAGAAAAAAAGTTCCCATAAGCATGGGTCTGGTAATGCGTAATTTCTGAGATACAGGGTGTCAAAGTTTTGAAAAAATATAATTTTTTTATATTCGAGCTAACAAACCGATTTTTTTTAAAACTTTGAATCCTGTATCTCAGAAATTACGCATTTCCGGACACATGCTTATGGGAACTTTTTTTTAAAAAAATATTGTAAGGAATCACATCCTGTAGTTACGAACCGTACTTAGGAAACACCCTGTATATTTTTCTATTTTCTGACCACCCTGTACAGGGTGGGCCAATTTGGACACTTTCTTATGGAAACACCCTTTATTTTTAGAGATAGAAAAAAATGAAACCCCCACTCTGAGGCTCAAATTTTATGAATTTTTGATTGGTGCAAACCGCATTTTGATATCTTCAACCGTTTAGCCGCTAGAGGGCGATTCTCGATTTTGAGCAATACTGTGAAACCTTCATAACTTTTTTATTTATGAAAATAATTCATTTCTGTAAAGACTTTCTGGAAGCACTTTTTCAAGTGGAATTCAGTGACGTTCACAGCTTTTTTCTATTTGGCTCCGATTCCGAGATATTGACCAAAATCCGATTTTTTTCAATAGGACATCCTATATATTAATAGCTTATTGAAAAGCTTTGCTTTTGCTGATTTCAATTATATAAAATTCGATAGGTTTATCTCCAACGGTTTCCGAGAAAAAAATTATTTCGATTTTTGTCATAAGATACAATGTGTTGGAAAAGGACTTTATATCTGTAAAGAAAACGAGAAAGGTCTCTTTCTAACACATTGTTTCTTATGACAAAAACAGAAATAATTTTTTTTCTCAAAAACTGTTAGGGATAAACCTATTGAACTTTATATCATTGAAATCAGCAAAAGCAGAGCTTTCCAATAAGCTATTAATATATAGGGTGTTCTATTGAAAAAAATCGGATTTTGGTCAATATCTCGAAATCCGAGTGAATTAGAAAAAAACTGAGAACGTCACTGAATTCCTCTTAAAAAAGTGCTCCTAGAAAGTCTTTACGGAAATCAATTATTTTCATAAACAAAAAAGTTATGAAGGTTTCACAGTATTGCTCAAAATCGAGAATCTCCCTCTAGCGGCTAAACGGTTGAAGATATCAAAATGCGGTTTGCACCAATCAAAATTTCATAAAATTTGAGCCTCAGAGTGGGGGTTTCATTTTTTTCTATCTCTAAAAATAAAGGGTGTTTCCATAAGAAAGTGTCCAATTTGAACCACCCTGTACATGCTGTTTCAAGTTTTAATAGTTTAATATAATTTTTTCAAGAAGCAGAAACTTTAATAAAGAATAAACTTTTTTCTTAAAATTGATAACAAAAAAGTTTCCCATATGCTGCGAACTTAGGTGGACACACTGTACAGGGTCTTTCCCCATATGTTGACCCCCCCTACTACAGGGGTTATGTGAAGAGATATCAAAAAATTGTAAATACAAAAGTTTTGGGATTTTACCTGCAATTTTTAAATCCTATGTCAAAAACTTTTAGTTTTTCTTAGAAATGTCGAATTTTGACAGATAGTCAGTTTTTTCTTATGGAACACCCTATATATGACTTAATAGTTGGAAATAGTCGAATTTTCTGGGTTGAAATGTATACGGTTTAACTACTTTTAGTTAGGCCGTTTTGGAAATATTGTCACAACCCCTATACGTTTCGTCCTGGGACGTCATAACAGGAGCGGGACCTGGGGGCGTAGGTAGGGTTCAGGTAGAGAGAAACTCGCTTGGTATAGGTATAATAAGATATGTATTGAATAATAATGATATTATCCTAGAAATAGTATCATGACGTCTATTCTACGGAGGGATGTACTACTTATAGGCCACTCTGTAATATGTACACTCTGTACACCTGGCGTGACTGAAGACTGAAGCTGGGTTTGAGACAGGTCCAGAAGGGCGTTTCCCATTAAAGGTAGTTTGCACTGGGAGGAGACTTAGCTAGAGGGGCTTTCCCATTTGAGGTACTTTGCACTAGCCTTAGTCTGCCGGTAATGGATTTCGGCGCGGTATTTATATCAAATAAATGCTGACTCGTCGACACACTTTAGTAAAATTGATTTGCAGAGTGGTATTTACCTAAGTAGTTGACAATATCAGGGTCTAAATTTCGAGAAAATAATGCATTGAAACACATCTCTATTCCAACCGACATGAGAACCGTTCGAAAACAGTAATTTCCAGTTACCCACCTATTTTTCAATCAGTTGAACATTCATCCTAGTTGACAAATTAATTGATTGACTGGAAATTATTGTTCTAGAACGGTTCCCATGTCGGTTGGAATAGAGCTGATGTGTTTCAATGTATTATTTTTTTGAAGTTTAGAGCCCGATATTTTCAAAACGGCTCAATTAAAAGTAGTTCAATCATATGTATTTGCAATCAGAAAAATCTACTCTTTCTAACTCTAAAGTCATATATAGGGTGTTCCATAAGAAAAAACTGACCATCTGTCAATATTTGACATTTATAAAAAATAAATAAGTTTTTGACATAGGATTCAAAAATTTCCGGTAAAATCCCAAAACTTTTGTATTTGAAATTTTTTGATACCTATCTCTTCACATAACCCCTGTAGGAGTGGGGTCAATATATGGGGAAAGACCCTGTACATAGTGTACATATCGGGTTTTCAAAAAAAAATAAAAATCAAAGAGTGCTTTGATAACGAAAACGTACGTCGCATTATTGTTTCTTTATTGGACAGGATTTTTGACATGACATGTTGACATTAAAGTTCATTGACAAAATTAAAGGAAAATATTGCTAAGACATACGTTTAAAATACCATAGCAATCTTTGATTGTTTTTTTTTTTTGAAAACCCGATATAATACCTATTCAATTATTCAAGAAAAGGCAGAAGAAACTTGAGAAACTTCCATCGCACCTCTGTCTCTTGCTTCGTATAGTACAGACCTGACCGTATCGAGGTTGAAGAACAGAAAAGTTGTAAAATATATTCTTTAATAATATTTAAGTATATTTTATGCAACTGCATGTTCGCAAAATAGCTCGTATGTTCTCAGGACAATTCGCGAAATTCAAATTCACTGGGCTCTTCAACGGCTGCGAAGCTATTTTTTTTTTACCAATTTGGAAAAAATTCACAATATTCATTACGACATAAAGAGAGAAATTTGAATGTTTGCCCCCGTGCTCCTATAACTTCCGATAATTCCTTTTTTTTTCGAATTGTGTTTACGTACTTTTATTTCACGTTATTTTTTTTTTGACTCTCATCCATATGCCGTCACCGAATCATCGAAAAAAAAATTAAAAAACACCTACTTTTGGCAACAAAAATGTTGTACCGAATTTGTTTTTTTCTGTGAAAAATTGAAACATGTCGGGTGACATAAAATTGTGGAATTCGTCTGCAAAAACACGCTTGATTTTGTATTCAACAAACACCCCCAGAAAATTAATCGTCAAAGGGGAAAGTTTACACCGCGTAGACGTAAATATCAGCCTATATATTTGCGTTGGCGTTCGTTAGTGCAATCAATGATATTAATGTCGACAAACAGAAAATACCATTTTTATTTTTATTAAAACATTTTATGGACCCTGTGAAGGACATTAAGTGTTCAAACTACAGAAATGTTTGGATTTTTTTTTTATTTCCTGGATTTTAGATTTAGAAAAAATATACCTAATATATTTCGCTAATAACTCTTTTGCATGTTGTTCTTAGAAACGGAAAGTGCCTTAGAAACGAAAAGTGACTTTTCACTTCAGCTCTCACTTTCTGATTAACAATTATAGAAAATCGAAATGAGTACAAATATGGATTTCCTGACACGTTCAAATAGGCTGAAAATTACCCTATTGCTTTTTTTTAAATTCGTCAATTCGACATCCAGTATATTTTTGCTTATTTTGATGGGAAATAACATTCTTCAACATTATTATTTATTATTTTCATTCTCCCGTGCTATGGCATGTGTTATTGAAAATAGCTACTTTTTAATTTACAGTGGAAAAATAACGATGTGCTTTATCTCCTATTTTTTTCTCCTGTAGATGTCTGAAAATCGTTATATCCTTTTCATGGGGTTTGTACCGACTTTAATTATTACACTGTATATATTTGACGGATTTGTATACCTACCTAGACAGATATCCAAATAAAATAAAACAGCTTTCATGGATTTAAAATAACTTTTTTTCTTAAATATATTATCGTATGTATATATAAACATTTTTCCCAATAAATTAAAACATTTCAAAATTATACTTATTATTAAATAATATTACAACAAAACATTTGAGAGTCAACGCAGAAATAAATGGGTGATGTATAATTTGATGACAGAATCCATTTCTTGCAATTTTGGTAACAACGAACTATTCCAGTAGATAAATACCTACTACCTTCGAAAAATACGTAAGACCAGAAAGAGATGTTCCAATTGAATTTTTTTTAATGTTTTTCATCTTCAATTACAAATTACCCGAAAATTTGTACATAATTACTTACAAACAGTTTTTATTTTGTCCAAATTATACATTCCCGTTAGCCAGTCTAACAATACAACTCTCTAATTATTGATAACATAATAAAAAACTCAAAACGGCAAAACGCTCATAGCAACTATTTGCAGCAACGTATATGGTTAACATTTGCTGTACATTCTGTCATTTGTCATTTCAGTACGCCTACTTTTTCTAGGCTTCCCAAATGTTCACAATGTCTGTAACTATATTCACGGCTTTGCAGAACGACTCAAATTTGTTGGATTTGTACCATTGCAAAAAATAAAAACACAAGTTGTGATGTTAACCTTGAGACTTTATTATAAAACTCGACAAAAAAAAATGCACTAGGTGAGCATCAAATCTACCGATCGGAAACCGTCAGTAGACTCATTTCCATCGTTTTTAAAAATATATTTTGGCAATCAGCGTTCTTATTTAATAGAAAATGGCACTGATAGCGGTTTACCCAATTACAGCTCTATCAGAACCAAATAATGCTGAAATTTATCAAGAAAAGCGAATACGAATTAAACCTTGGCAAACAAAGCCTCTCGATTTCCAATCCAGATTGACAGCATCGCTGTCACTTTGAATGATATAAAAGTTTGCATCAAAGTTGATTCTAGCCTTTTTTTCAGTGCACAAGAAAAGATGATTGAAACAATGTACAAGGTGATCTAACGAGGACTGGACAAGGGCTTATTTTTGACATTCCCTGTATTTTTGAGAAAATCCAAAATAGCCAATTGGAATATTTTTTTCTGGAGAATTCAAAAATGGTACCGAAAAATCATTTGATCCAAAAACCAAAGACTTACGCCATGGATGAAATGTTTTTTGAATGGAACCATGTTTTTTGTATGATTTTTGTAAAATTGGCATTTTTTAAAGTCTATTATTCTGTTGAAAATATTTGATATTCCGATAGCTTTTTTTATTTTATTTTCATGCTTTATGCTCAATAATTTTAGCTTTACCTGTTTAATACTGGCGATAAAATACCTTTATCATCTATGAACCTAACAAATTAAACAGGTAAAGCTGAAATTATTTAGGATAATACATTAAAATAAAATAAAAACAGCTATCGAAACATCGAATGTTTCCAACATATCGACGTAAAAAAATGCGACTCATCAATCAATAGCCTAACTCTTTGGTTTTTGGTTCAAATGATTTTTTGGTACCATTTTTGAATTCTCCAGAAAAAAATATTCCAATTGGCTATTTTTAAATTTTCTCAAAAATACATGGAATGTCAAAAATAAGCCCCTCTCTCCGGTCCTCATTGGATGACCCTGTACATACATTGTTGAAAAGTAGAATATTGATGATGACAAAATGAGCCGGCGATTTCGAATAAACAAATATTTTCATTTTAAACAGAGGCATGCTCATGCACAAAAAAATATTTAAAAGAAAAATCACAACACTGACGCCAAGAAATAAAGTGTTTTTTTTTTAAGGAATCTTGCCCAAACTGCATCTTGCAAACTTTTTTGGTTGGCAAACTGTACCTACTCCCTGCATTTTCTAGGTTCTCTCTGTATCGTGTTCCACTCATTCTCCTAAAAAACTTTTCTAGATTCAGACAAGCATTTAAACATACAAAAAAAAATCCACTTAAAAAATGTACGGTAAAAATTGTGTAAATTGTGTAATTTTGCAAGTTTTTAAATTTTTATTGGAAATATTTGCAAATTTACAAAACTTAACTTACACCTCACCTTCAGGCATCTATTTTAACATTGTAAGAAAACTAATAAAAATTTAACTAGATAAAAATTTTAACAATATTTGATATTTTAGTCGATTTTGAGCAGCAGGATATGAAAAGTTTACAGCATTAATACAAACAATTAAATATGCAAGCAATGGCCAATGTACATGTTTTGATTAGCCTAAAATGAGCAGTCTTCATTATAATAACCTTTCCTTCGAAAAGACATTTTTTTTAATTAACATATTACCAACATACATATATATTTCATTTTCTGCCGAATTGCTATACAACGACATTCAGCGTTTAATTTGGGGCGAAGCACAAATATTTGGCACATATCACATAATTTTTATACACTGTGTCCTCAGAACTTCTGTTAAAACTGAAGCAATATAACTGTTAGTATGAAACACACTTTTTTCGCTATCATAACTTTCGAACTCGATTCTGTGTTATTTAAGCTCAGATTGTTCTCTTCATTTCCTGTTATTTGATCTTGAAAGTCATTGTATAATCGTTTTTCGGAGTTCTCAATTTCTTCATTCATCTCAGTTTGATCATAGTCTTCTATATCTTCGTGCTTTTGAATTTCCATTTCTGAAACAAATAAAATGGTTTTTGATTTTCAAAAAGTAGATACTATGGAAAGCGATAATGCGCCGTTCAACTAGTTAGATACAAAAAAAAAGATGGAAATAATTTTCACTATATTTCCACTAAATTTGTTGAAAATATAGTAGAAATTAGTTTCACTTATTTCTAACCATGGATTTCAATTCCCACCAAGTATCGGCTCAATCAATTGAGAAAAAGGGGAATTACTATAGGTTGAAATTTGACTCAATGTTGCAAATAATTCGCCAATGAAATAATTTGGGCGATAATACACTATACCAAAGATAATCCTAATTCGAGTAGGATTATCTTCGATCCTTTGATCATACACATAGAAACAAGGTACCTAGATAAAACTTTCATTATTTATGTTATTTGATAAAAAAGTCCTCATTTATGCCATTTTGCATGATATACGATAAATTACTTGCGAAAGATTCGGAAACTGTTTCGTCAGCGAACTATATTAGCATAATGAGTGGGCACAACGCATTCCGAGTTCACGAAATATCAGAGTATTAGAACCTGGTAGAAACAATTACGTAGAATCCTGATTACTTCTGATAGTCTCGAACTGATGCAGGAATGAACCTACAACAGACAGTCACTATACTATAGAGATTGAGAATATCACAGAAGGGATTAGCCTTACCAACACTGAATATTTTACTTGAAGAAGATATACGTGATTTCCTACAAAAGAGGATTCCCATAATCTTAATTGATGCGACCGACGTCAACAGTAAATCCCCAGTGTGAAACTTCAATCTCCATGACAAGTAGAGCGAGACATGGATAAATAGTAATCATGTTGCGCAAAAACTAACCCTTAAACTGTTTAAATAATAAATTTGAATAAATAAATCCTAATAGGCCCAGGTACAGTAAGACACCCTTAAGGCAGCGCAACAAAGTGCTCGCGGCTACTCAGTGGTGTGGGAGTAGGTTCAATATTGAAAGTTAGCTTTATAGGGCGCCACTGATTTACAAAATAAAATCCGCGGACTTAAACCAGAAAGTCCCTGATCTCCAAAATTCCTATAAAAATGTACCTACCCGATGTACCTATCCTCTAAAAACAACTTTACCTTAGTTTGGTTGAGGTCAGTAGGAGTAAAATATAAAAACAATGAGTATAAAATATAAAACTATTAATATGTTCTGGGGGGGGGGGGGGGGGGAGACCTGAAATTGCATTACAAAGACCAATAGAAGGCAAAATAATATATAAAATACCACAGTAATTATTATTAAATGTAATTGGTGAAATTACCAAAAGGTAAAAAAGACCAAAAAATCATTGGTGCAGTATACCCATTGTAATAATTAAGGCAGTAAAACAACGTGGAAATGTATCAAAAAATAATATGAATAATAATTTAAAAAAAAATGATTAGGAAACGTTAATAAATGAACGGGTACATCACCCACTTGTGGTCCTGTCTGCAGTCTAAAAAATTCATGGATTTCCTACAAAAGAGGATTCCCATAATCTTAATTGATGCGACCGACGTCAACAGTAAATCCCCAGTGTGAAACTTCAATCTCCATGACAAGTAGAGCGAGACATGGATAAATAGTAATCATGTTGCGCAAAAACTAACCCTTAAACTGTTTAAATAATAAATTTGAATAAATAAATCCTAATAGGCCCAGGTACAGTAAGACACCCTTAAGGCAGCGCAACAAAGTGCTCGCGGCTACTCAGTGGTGTGGGAGTAGGTTCAATATTGTAAGTTAGCTTTATAGGGCGCCACTGATTTACAAAATAAAATCCGCGGACTTAAACCAGAAAGTCCCTGATCTCCAAAATTCCTATAAAAATGTACCTACCCGATGTACCTATCCTCTAAAAACAACTTTACCTTAGTTTGGTTGAGGTCAGTAGGAGTAAAATATAAAAACAATGAGTATAAAATATAAAACTATTAATATGTTCTGGGGGGGGGGGGGAGACCTGAAATTGCATTACAAAGACCAATAGAAGGCAAAATAATATATAAAATACCACAGTAATTATTATTAAATGTAATTGGTGAAATTACCAAAAGGTAAAAAAGACCAAAAAATCATTGGTGCAGTATACCCATTGTAATAATTAAGGCAGTAAAACAACGTGGAAATGTATCAAAAAATAATATGAATAATAATTTAAAAAAAAATGATTAGGAAACGTTAATAAATGAACGGGTACATCACCCCCTTGTGGTCCTGTCTGCAGTCTAAAAAATTCCATATACATCTCCTGACAGCCTCACAGCCCTGATAACAGACCCCATCAATTTCTTTTGATTTCCCTTCTTAAAAATGGTATGTTTCGGTTTCAAGTTCAGTATTTTGGGTACTCTGACACCTCAACCTTGAGACTAGCAAACCGTCAAAAAGGAAGAACCCAATGGTAAGGTAAAATGTAAAACCTGGTTACTATTTGGGCTAGTTGAACAAAACGTGCTCTCTTTTCGCATCGACAACTAAACAAAATGGCGTAGATTTTCGTCTCCAGAAAATTCTGAGTGGTTGGCTTACAAATACGGGGACTTACGACCAAATCCAAGCTTCACCTCAAAACCAATTAAGCCAGCAACCACTTGAGCTCCCAACGCCTCCAAAATCCCACAAAAGGTGGATGTTCCAAGGAACTTAGCAAAGAGGACCGCTGGTAAAATCTGCCACTTGTTGTTTGCTCAACGTGCGAATTTTAAAAGAGAACGATCCCTTTCGGCAATTGATTAGGTGAGCTCAGTATGAAAAATTCCTTAGAATTCTATTTTTTTCAAGATGCCCTCTAGTGCCAGATTTCCGGTCTTGACCAGGAAAACGGAACAATCAGCTTGGAACGGAACAACCCAGACCACATTGATGACAAGCGAAACCCAAAATCGTTATCCAATTTTCTCCCCTAACACTAATTATTTAATTAGTAAAAATTCACCTTCGTGCCATATTCGACGAACTGCAATTATTTAAATATTGGAATTACAAACAATATTAACTCGCCCTTTACTCCAATATGGCACATAACTGCAAGCGAAATTAGATGTGATGTATCCGCTATCAGACTCTTCTAGACCTATAATACTCTATCAAACCCAGAATTCCAAAAGTGTATCTATAATTTTGTACTACGATTAGGTATGTGGATCCTGAACTATAGGAGTACTTATATCGTTATGGTATTGAAATGTAAATCATGAAAAAACAATGTCATGCAACTATATTAGTATTACGCACAACCTTCATGTCATAATCAACAAAAATATCAATTCGCCACCTTTCCTCTTTGAGATAACACGCACGCCTACCATCAAATTATCAAGTCAGATCATATATTCTCACCGGATAATAAAAAAAATAAAGAGAAAATTGAATTTTTCTTATTCCGACTTTGCTGTTTCCTCTTTTCCGGTCCCCATTATCAGTTGAAACCAATGCAACGCGTGCGTCTTTTTACTTTTATGGCTCGCTACAATATTCTCTTTCGTGTGTATAACTTTATAAACTGACTACATTTCGATTATGTTATGGTCTGGATAAGAATTCCGAACGGTCTTATCCGTTTTAAAAATCGCTATTTCATTTACTTCCTCGTGAAATCGTCGAAAGTCATTGCTGATTTGATAGAGCATCAATTAAAAAACAAGGCCTATCTCATTTTTTTGTAAACTATTAACATAATAATTGGTGGATTTATCCTTCAACTAAATCCACTAAGCCAAAAAATTGTGAATCCAACTACTCTTCCTTGATAAGAATTGTTGTGATTATTTTTATATGAACTTCTGATTTCAAAAACACAAATAATAATACGATGGTAGACTTTTGATTGTAGTGAATAGATGAAAGGTTTCTGTGAAAAAAAAAAAAAAAATCTCCTCCTCAGACCTGCAGCGGGACTCTGTGTCATGTAGAATTCTACAAGTCGACAAGATTCTACAGGGTTGGCACTCTGTGCATCAAGAATATCGGCAAAACGCGATTTATTTTATAGTTTGATCTCTACCTCTCGAGACGTGTCGAATGCACTGAAAAAAAAATCGTTCATAATATTGACGAATGGCGGTTGTTATTTTTTTTTCATTAATTAAATGAAATATTTCATCAATCCAATTAATCAGTGTTCATAGCCCAATGACTTCGTTCCTTAATGTAACGAATTTATGTTCATTATTATCATAAAACCCGTGAATTTTTATTTTTCATTGTTCGAACGAACACTTTCATCAGTATAAGGAACTTTCTTTGAAGATCAGTGATTCTATTCCTTGATTTTATGAATAATCATTCATAAACCACATTCATTGTATTAATGATTATTTCTTATCCCAAAAAGTTTGTTCATCATGCTTATGAAACTTTCTCCATTGTGTCAATGAAGTTATGCATTGAATCAATGACCAAGAGTTCATTAATTAATGAATATGTTTCATCAGCTTGACGAATGTGTTAGTGATTTAATGAACGTTTATAACTAACGAACTTTACTCATCAATTTAATGAATTCAATAGTTTTAATATAGACCTATTCGTCATGCTAACGTATAGAATTCATTAAACACACCCAAACTCCATATTATCGACAGTATATTGTATATTATCCGGAAATTATATTTTGTGTTGGTGTTAAATTCAACTCTTTTTGGAAGAAATTCAGGTATTCATTGAGTGGAATAACTTCTTCATTTATAGTGTACGGAAAACATTGCAGAACGTGGGACACTACCCGGAAGTCATCTGTCAGCGCAGGCAACCATTGACGCTGAAATCCAACAATCACGATATCACCGCTGAGATCAAACTTCGTGTCTACAATACAGTTGTAATACCAACACTTACATAAATAACTGCGAAACATGGACCACCTACAGAAAACCTAGAAAAATACCACCAGCGATGCCTAAGAAGGATCCTACGGATTAAATGGCCAGATCGACGAACGAACATTAGTGTTTTAGAGGAGGCCAACCCAACTAACTTGGAAGCCC